ATTAATTGTCATATTCTTATTATATTTACTCGTTATAAAAAAATGGATCCCTCCAAACTCAGCTGCTTATATATTACTTTGCAACATAATTACTTGCCATGTATAAGTATATTAGTAACGTCTAATGCCATTTTTTTATATACCTACATTAAGAATTAGTTATTCGGTATTATAAGTACTTAAAATTATTTTAAATCAAGATTTTACATTTAATAAATACTAACTTAACTAAATTTTTATTAGTTAATAATATATATATATATATATCATATTTCTTCTCAAACTCTTTTTTTGTACAATGAGGAAAAAAATTTTCTTAAAGTTTTTCTTAAAAACAAGAATAGTAATATTATAATTATAATATCATATAAAATTATAAATTTATATTCCTGACTGTCATTGTCAACTTATAAGTGTTTATAACATTAACAATTCAGGGAAGATTTACATAAATGGATACGCTAGGGGTAAGGATGGGAAAATTCGAGTTTTGTTTTTCTTTGCAGTGGGATCGTATGTTTGAATGTGGAGGGATAGTGTGGTGTATGGAGGGCTGGGATGATGTAGGGCGGAAGGCAATGGATTTAATTAAAATAAAGACATTAATTTGGTTATAAGGTGTGGCAGGAGAATTTTCTTTTTTTGTAGGATTAGAGTGCACAACCACTTATAAGTTGCGTGGTTACTGGTGATAATCCTAATACCAAAAATGCATTTCAAAAATCTTAAATTTGAGTCATAGAGATAAAAATTAGTTTAAGTTAATGTTACGTTAGTTTTTATTTAAATTTATGTTGATGTATTAAGATATAATTTGAGATAGAGTATTCTTTTGTATCCTTATTAATATAAAATTTTAATTTAATTGATAAAAAAATAAATATAATGTTATATTAAATAAGTAAATATATATAATATTATGAATAAATTTTTAAATACAAAATTAATTATATAACAATACTAATAATTTAAATAATTTAATATTAATTTTTAATAAAAAATTTTAAATTTAAATTACATAACATACAAATAAAATTTATTAAATAATAAAAAAATATTATTTTTTATTTTACAATCCAAAATATAAAAAATATATATATATACAACAATGGATTAACTTACTTACACTACCACGTCACATTCGATGGCGTTTACAAATCAAGAGGAATGCTAGGGGCACTCGCTTTCTGCACTCTCCGGCTAACACTTCCCCTTTCATTGGGCCACGTAAGCATCTTTAAAGCTTTCAGGCGCAACCTCTCGTAACCAAAATAACGTGGCCCAATAAAAGAGAAAGTGTTGGCTGGAGAGTGCAGAAAGCGAGTGCCCCTAGCATCGCTCTACAAATCAAAAGCGAACAATTTTCATCTAGCGCTAACGGTTTCAGCCAATCCATTCAAGGCGCGCATGTGTCACGGTCGCCTCCGTCTAAAATCAGTTGATGTAATGTGATGCGTTGTCAAGACACCAATGGCCCGTTGCGCACATCATTGTACGAATGTTTTTGACATGTAATACTATTTTTTTATTACTTTCTTTTTTATTTCGGCCTTCACTCACTGTCCATTATCGTTATTCATTATTTTTCTGTCTGCCCCCTTTTTCTTTTCTCAATTTTACCAAAACAAGGTGAGAGGCTGACTTAAAAAACTTCTAATTATGGTTTGGGGGCTGGATAAGGGTGTCTTTTTTTTTCTTTTTTTTTTTTTTTTAAGGCTATCCCGTAGGAAATGCTTTTATCCATCTTGGTCTTTCTCAAAGTTTAATGGCAAAATCTCTTCTTTAAAATCAATTTTTTTAAGAACATGACACTAATACGT